TTTTATACATTTGTTTCTTTGAAGATCTTTTCAGGAAAAAGATTTCCTAACAAGCCACCCTCCCCCTGCTGCCACTGAAAAATCATTCCTGTGGATAAGGCTGTCAGGAAGAGAAACTGTGTGGCATTCACAGAAGACAGAGTGTCACATGCCTGCTTTCCAGTAACCTGATTGAACAATTAAATTGTATTTCTCTTTAAAAGGGTTGTAAAAAAAAAAAAAAAAAAGAAAAAAAAAATCAAAATGCAGATCTTGCTGTGGTCTGGGATTCGGGAAGAGTAATGAGCTACCTAAAAGGGAACAGCAGCTTATAATAGAAAGAGGCTATAGTACATTTTTAACATAAAGTTCAAAGGGAAACTTTTCTTGATGGTTAAACTGCAAAGATACCTCAGCAAAGTCATCTCATCTATTGTCCCTATTGACTCCCTACATTGACTTTTTGTCACCTATTGCATCACGTTCAAGCTCTTCCAATTCATCCAGAAAGGGCAATATCATCTTGTTCCTATCCACACTAATTCCTGTATTTTGTCCTTTACTTCTTTGTCAGCTCACAGGCTTTGTTCTTCCCAACCCTGCGCTAGCTCGACAGCTGGAAGCCTGCAGAACTCTCTTTTGCATCCTCCTCTCTTGAAAATGTTCACAATCTCCCGCTCATGACAAATGTTGCCTCAAGATTTGTCTTATATCAATAAGGAGTCACTCTTTCATGAAATCTGGCTGTGCCCATCAGTAACAAGTTTTGAACCCAGGAAAGGAGCTATTTAAAAACAAATCCTCAGTTCAGACTAACAGCAATGGTAACCACAAAAATACCCAGATCTCAGCCACAAGGTACTTGGAAAAGGACACAGGCATGGACTGAGTCAATACTGTTCTCTACTGTGTTTTTAAAGCAACATGGACATACGGTCAGGTCAGGGTGTGGAGGCAACTGTGAATGACAGAAGGCAACAGGACTCATCCCAAAGAGACCTGAAATTTTTGAGGCAAGCGCTGCAGGCTCCCTGGTTGGCCCCGTCACTGCTCCAAACTTAGTGCTCTCAGCAGCTTCAAAATTCTTGGTTTTCAACCCATATTTGTCCCATGCAGTTTGTAACACAGAGCTACTAACTGTGGAGAAGTAACTACTTAAATCTTACGGCTCACTGGTATACGAAAATGATGGTGCCAATAGAACAGCTTACACTTTACAACATCCTACTGAACTGGGCAACTTCTTTCAGTTAATCCTGGGCACAAGACCATGTGACAGATTTTGAACGCGAGAACTGGAGTCTCAAAGGGTAAAGAGCTGTAAGCTAAACACCTTCCAAGTGTGCAAATGGTGATACCATAATCTGAAAGACAGGCATCTCCACTTTATTCTATTCCTGTATGCTGTCAGATCATAGGGTGAGCAACTGTCAACTTCAGTACATCTCTGCCTCAAATTCTTCCTTCACAGTCCATCCAGAGGTATCTGAATATTCACCATAGTGTGAACCATTATATATCCTTAATCATCAATAGTAAGCTCATCTTTGTAGAGTCACCTAAGTGAAGCAATCTGTCCACAAGAACCTATATGTCTCTCAAGGCTTCTTTTCACACTTTTGTGGATTTAACTTGTTGCTGAGGACAACTAAGTTATAAAAGGAGGAAGAGAACACAAAGTCATCCAAAAATACTCTTGTAAACTATAAAACACCCTCAGTTTAAAACTAACTGAAAATTATCATGGGTAAGATTTCAAGGAGGAATTCTACCCTTGTCCATCACTGTAATATCTGAAGAGTATATATTATTTTCTTGTTAAGTAAGAAACTAGAATAGATAATACAAAAGAAAATATACATTATCATGACAGCCTTCAGATCTTCCCTTGATTTTGCTCCCAAAACCAACACTTTCATGAGTTAGACTATTCGGGGGAAAAAAACATGAAATGATGCCATGCTCAGAGGTGAGAACACTTCTCTGTGTATATATAGCACTTGCCACAAGCAATGTAAACCAGCAAGAGTAGTCCAACTCTTCAAATTCACCATTTTCAAACACTCTGCAACTCTTCAAGTGTTGTACAAGACAAAGAATTGGTCACTTTAGTCCATACAACAGAAACTTGCAACTTCAAATATGAGTTGACTGATCTTAGCTCCCAAAGCAATCCAGGGTAAGTATCACATTCAGCATACAATGTAAGGAAATAAACCACAGATAAGGAAGCAGACATTAACTCCAACTATCCAAAAGCAGTGCTCACAGTGAGATATTTTGCATTTCACCCACTGCTTTATAAGTATCTTTCAAGATCTCAACCTCTAGATGAAAATGCAGAGGGAATAAAGAGAAACCCTGCTGCTTCACAAGGCAGTAAGAATAAATAAACAGGTTAAAAACTGGAGAGATTTATACAGCCTGTGTGGCAAAGTAGAGAGGTATTAACACCCTGACATAGCATGGACAGGATATTCAAGCTCCTGCAAAAGAGAATTATCCAAACTAGCACATTATCTATTTCCCCACCTTGAAGTTCTCCACTTCTGCTGTACAGTTCCCTTCTCTGCTCACGCAAATAGGCACTCATGCTAATGGCATGGGAGGAGGACTCAAACGCTGCACTGTAATTAAAAAAAAAAAAAAAAAAATCCAGTCAGTTAGCCATCCACAGAAACACCCTTCTTGTAAGCACCAGTCAGCGCTAAATGAAAAGGACTTCCCTGCATGTTGGAGCAAAATTATCAAGGCAGACAAAAACACATTTTCCCTATAAAACTCCCATCACTGACGCACCACATCCTGCCACCTCTGATCCACGCAGCTCTACCAGCAGCCACCCGTGACACAGACCTGCTCGCAAACCACCGAGATGCTCCTCCACTCTATCAGCTGGGAGCACTCAGGCATTTAAGTAGGAATGGCCCCAAAACCCGGTAAAATCCAAACCAAAGCCATAGGCTAGCACCATCCAAATTGCTAACTGACCTACACATAAAAATTAAAATCAAACATTCTCTTGGAAATGAGAGAGCAATAAATTATTAAGTATTTATCATACTGCTCTAATACTCCTCAAGGACCAATCTGAGAGGCAGAAGATAAATATTTTCCAGCTACTGTAGCCCCATAAACATGATTTTTGCCATTGATAGTAAAAGGCCACAGACTGGGCACTGACCTGACACCACAAGGACTGATGACATCTCTGGGCTTGCCGTGCCCTGAGCTGGGTGTCCCCGTGATCACAAGTGTCCCATGGCCAAGGGCCTCGTGCCCGACCCACCTGAGCTCAGCGCTGGGGACACCCTGCATGGCCAAGAGCTGCTGCCCCGGGCAGGCACTGCCCAGCAAACACCAGCCCTTTGTGTGCCCGGGCTGGGCACTGGGCAGCTCTGCCACCGGTGTTGGGGACCGGGGAGAAGGGAGTAGGCGATGGGGACAAAGCATCTTCAAATAGCCAAAGTGGACACAAGACTTTACCCCATGCAGTGTTAAAGGTTGGGGGAACAGTGGTTAGAAAGTGGTCAAGCAGAAAAGGACCTGGGGGTGTTGGTTGACGGCTGGCTGAACATGAGCCAGCAGTGTGCCCAGGTGGCCAACACCATCCTGGCTTGTATCAGCAACAGTGTGGCCAGCAGGACCAGGGCAGTGATCATCCCCCTGTACTTGGCACTGGTGAG